TGGTGTAGGAATCCACCCTATGTTTGAGAAGCCATGGTCTCTGAAGGTAAAAGATGGCTAAATTTCATAAGTACCTGTGGATTTGTACCTGTTAAGTCCTGCTCACTAATGTGCTGCTAGGAGCTCCTTAGGGATGTCTCAATAAGAAGAGGAATAAATCAATTATTTAGCAAAAACTGTAAAGGCAGGTTGATGACTACAGAGGGGAAAATACACTAAGACTGTCCTGTTTATAAGGTGATTTCCAAATTCTTAAGGAGCTTGATATATAGAACAGTGGTAGAAAACACTTGGCCAGCATGCATGAGGTCTTGGTTTCAATTCCCAGTACCCCCCACTTCCACATACACACAAATTCCTTTGATCTCGGTGTGGTGGCACATTTCTATAGTCTTAGCTATTAGACATCGAGGCAAGAGGATCGCTTGAGCCTAGTTGAACACAGTGAGATCCCATCTCAAAACAAAACAAAAATCATAAGGAAATACAGAAAGTCAAGAATAACCAGGGAAAAGAAACACTATAAAGGCCTCAGGCCAGCTGACATCAAGAGCCATCATGAGGATGCAGAGATTATAACAGTGGGCACAGTTTTGAAGACCAACAAGTTGGCCAGTGGGTAGAAGAGAGCCTAGAAATAGGTCCCGCCAGGATCCTACACAGGACAATTGTGAAATCGACACAGTGAGGAAGGGACAGTTTTTCTCAATAAATAACACTGGATAGCTAGAAATCCATACGGTAACATTTCTTCCTTAAACCCCACCTCTCATTATTAACACAAATCAATTCAGCAAATTTCAGATTTAAATGTGAAAGATAAAAAAGAAAAGAAAAAAACATAGTAGAGCACCTTCATGACCTTGGAGTAGATGGAATGCTGCTTATTCAGAACATGCTCATTATGAAGGAGAACATGAGGAAACTGTTCTCCATTAAAATGCAGAACATTTTTTTTTCACCAAATATATTCATACAACACAATGCATTCAACAAGACTTGTGTCCAGAAGAGATACATTTAAAACAACCATGTCAATGTTAAAAGACAATCAATGCAACAGAATAATTGGCACTTTCACACAAGGACAATCCAGGGCCAATATAATAGTCTATGGAAAGTGCTCAATTTCATTAACAATCAGTGCAACAAAATCTGAAGCCACAAGATGCCACTGCACACCCATAAGGATAAAGTGAAAAAGACCCACACCACAGTTGGTGAGACTATGGGACAACTGCAAATCTGGAAAGCTGGCAGTAGTCAATAAAGGTGAACATGACACATGTACTGTGGCCCTACAGTTCTATTCTACGGCAGAATTATAAAACTACATGCACAATAATTCATGTGCTAGAATAATTGGGGAAGTACCAACAGTTCCAAAGCTGCAAATGAACCAAACATCCATCAGATAAATAATATGTGGTTTATTCACACAATGGAATACTATACAACTGTGAGAATGAACCATGTACAAATACTTACAACAAAAAATTCACATACTGTTGAGTGAAAGAAGCCAGATACAAAGAATGCATAATGTTCAATTCCATTCACATAACATCTCAAACAAGACAAAACTAGTCTATGCTCTTCTAGCTGGATAGTGGTTATCATTTGGGGGGGGGGGGGGGGGGGAGACAGTGGTCAGAAGGAAGCCTGAGAGGAACCTGGGTGTGAGTGCATGTATGTATTCTGCTAGTGAAGTGTCACTGAGGTCTGTATAGATGTCCTCCTTCAATAAAAAGTGAGAACAAAACCATCTGCCTCTGCCTGGCTCCTCTGCTCAGACAGCAGACATGTTCCCTTGCATTCTCTGCTCAGCCAAGGTCCACTACTTGTGCTGCCTCGCAGGTGGTATGAGGAGAAGCGCTCCCCAACACAGAGACCTGCAGGTATGGCTGCTGGCAGCAAGCCTCACCCTGTGAGTCCAAGCCCAGCTTTCCTCCTCGCCAGCATGTTCAAGTACTGGAGCATGCTCTCTACCTCTCTCCACAAGCCTCTCCTTCAGGAAACACGCAATTAAGTACTCAAGTTTTGAGCCCAAATGGTGGAGCCCCAACAGCTAACACCTCAGGCTTCAGGTAGTGAATGGGCGAGGATCATCTGGACCACACCCTTGGAGGTTTGTGACATGCAAGTGGACTGCAGGCACATCTTGGATGGGGTGATAAATTGCTGCCTCTGTTTTGGGCAAATCTGTATCCTCTCTAACCCAATTTTCTCACTGAAAGGAAAATAATGGTGCTCACACGATGAAGAGTTGTTGTAAGGATCAAAATGAATTACCATATGTAAAACATTTAGAAAAGCAACTGACACAAGGTAGGAGATTCATAAATGTGAGCTGTCAACTTTGGCTTTGTCTAAGGTGTGCTCTCCCCAAGGAAAGATGACCCAGGGTGAGTCTAGACAGTAGAGGGCTTGGGGTTCACCCAAGAGTCCCCACAGCCAAACTTTAGGGCACATTTCCAGGTATCTTATGTCTCAATCCTGCAGAGAAGCACACAGGTACATGTGTCAGGACTAAATGGAACAGAGAGAAACTGTAAAACACAGCAGGGCAGAAAAGCTGACAATCCCCGGCCCAGTCCCACATGGATCTACTACAAGGTAAACATGCAGCCACTGCATTCAAATGTCAAAGAATCAGGAAAATTGCTATCAGAGGGAGGGACATAAAACATTTCTCAGATGCATAGTATTTGATGTAACAGCCGCTAGCGAGGTGGTACCATCAGACCCATGGTATAATATGACCACCGGGGCCTAAACATCACAGGCATTTTGATACAACTTCTATTCCAGGGTCCAGGCCCCTGGATATGGCCTCTACTTTGCAAGCCTAGAGACCTTTGTAGTGACTGGCTCAAGATGACCTACGTACAAAGCCTGAGGTAGATGAGGGAAAGTCAGCTTGTGAAACAAAACCACCAGAGGAGTCACATTACCACTCTGAACCTGTGGGTAGGCCTACACAAGAAGCTGCATCTTCATCAAAAGGAAACCTGAGGGCTAGGGAAATAGCTCAGTTGACAGAGTGCTTGCCTCGCAGCACCACAAAAAAGAAAAAAAAAAAAAAAAAGGGAAACCTGAATGCAAATCAGAGTACCACACTGGCAACAAGTTAAGAGGCTGAAGGATACGTTCTGCTTTTCACTAAGCAACACTGCACCCTTTTCACTAAGCAACACTGCACCCTACCTTACCAGGTGCTTGCTTCACTCACACCTGCTGCTCTGATCATCTAACACGTGAAGTCAGGCAGTGATCACACTTCCTAGACTTCCAACATGGGGTGAAGGAGTGGGCCAAGGAACCCACTGTACTGACCATGAACCTTTCAGTCATTACATGCTCATTAACATAAGCGAAAGCTTCTACTCAATGCCTTTTCCCACTGAAGCCAGGCTAAAGTTTTCTTGGGAAACACAGTGGACTCAGGCACAAGGCCCAGCTCACTATGCCAAGTCAGGTCTGCCACCCGCTGCAAATGAGAATGCCAGAGGTGTGGCTGAAACTGCTGGAATTTACTAGCTCCCCTCCTTGAACACTGTGGCCACCATCTTTCCCTGAGTAGATTCTAGGCCCAAAGAATTCAATGTTAGTGTTCTTGGTAGCACCACAATGTGGCCATGTTCCTACATCAATTATCTACTTCTCAGGTTCTGTCTTTCCTAAATAGCTGATCTGATCTTCATTTCTAATTTCATCCTTGGAGGATAACTACTGAGCAGGTCTGTGAGTACCCTGGAGCCACTCCCATGAACTGCCTACCTCAATGGGCTCCTCCTGGCCCAAAAGGGAAAAATCAGGCCCCTCTCATTGGATATGTCTTGAATCAACCATTCAGACTATGGGATGTTCCAGCTTTCTCCTCTGGTGATGGGTACTGATGAACAGGGTGCCTTTTCCAGTCCTTCCCCTAAAGGATCATCCTCAGTCACTGTCCAGACACTTAACTGTGGCAAGGAGAGGTAGGGGAGTGGAAGAACAGGTAAGGCAGAGCAGCACACAAAGCTCATGGGAGAAGGGTGATTGCCTAAATAAGAGCACAGTGTGCTCCTCCCACACCTCCCTAGGACAATTACCAAACCTCTGCTGGCCAATAGTGGTCTCCAGCAAGATACACTAATGCTAGTTTTCCAAGTGACGTAAGGCAAGCCACCACCAAGGCAAAAAGACTTGATTTTTGTAAAACTGACAGATTACAGAAGGAATAGAAATAAGGAAGGAAACTCTTGCTAAAAAGCCTGCTACACCATGAGCAACATATAAACCAATTAAAAGACTATGTTTCTAAAACAAGTACTGTAGATAATTATAGAAAGTAATGCCTTTGTAAGCCATGCTTTAAATAAACCATTTAAAAAAGAATACACAATCGCTCTACTTTGATCTTAATGTTTCTCAGTTCATCCAAACACTGGCAAGTTTCCTGAATGCTGGCATAACATAAGGACAATAGTTCATATAAGCATGTTTTGGAAGAGTAGTCAATTATACAAATGACAATTTTAATGACAATTATAATGGTTCTGAAATTGCATACTTCTGCGTGGGAACCTGGATCTAACATCAGTGAGGATTAATCTGAAGTTTAAGCATCTACTTCCTCTACAGTCCTATGTGCCTGTTGCAGTTACATATACAAATCTGAAAAAATTTCCAACAGGCTTACAAGAAAGGGACTTTCACTAAATAAATCTTGAGAAAAATTAGGGCATCACTGTTCAATGAAGAAATGTAAACGTCTAATTACAATTTTGACAACTGGATATATTAATGCTATTGTAGGAAATTAAAATTCCAAAATAACTCTATGTTGCTATCTAAAATGTTCTAAACAGTTTCAGAATTGCAACATATTAACAAATAATTATTCATATCAAAATGCAATTGATAAAAATTCTAGCTAGGCAACTTTTATGACTATCTAAAATCAAGTTTTAAATTTATAACTTTAGCAACATATACTGAACACTTGCATTCAAATGTACAGAAAGCAATCCATTTAATCTTGAAAACTAATATGTAACAAAACATGGAAATGAGCCCACAATGGTAATCCAGAATGTGCCCTCTCCACCATGCAGCTGCAGCAAGTATGACATGTAAACAACACTCGACAACTCAGCACTGTGAAGAATTCAGCTGCTTCAACAAGTCGTGTTATCGTTTTTATAAGCTAAGACAGTACAGGCAAATGGAATTCTTAGAACATTACCTGAAAATAGATTTTTAAAGACAAAGGTCCCAATTCATTCTTACCTATACATACCAAGTTAATCTGTCACAGACAGCAAATGCTGAATTTACACACTGGAGTTTCCGGCAGCATCCTGTACATTTACAATTAATTTATAATTAAAATAAACAAGAGAGCTGTCAGATCTATGAGATGGATCGTTCAAATCTGTGTAGGGTGGAGAATTGCTTTGGGGCCACTGAATAAGTGCTCACTGCTGCTTCTCAAAGGCAAAAACCAAGTAAATACCTAAAGAAAAATAAAAAAATATTAACAGTTTACTTTTTTCTCATCCACAGGATAAACAAATCTCAGTCCAATTCATAATCTGGTGAAAATTCTTAGGCTGGCATTTGAAGAAGAAAAACTTCATCAGTTTTTCAGGTTCTTCTATTATCTGAGTCATATTTAGGCAGAGATAGGATCATTTCCATTTGCTTAAAAAAAAAAAAAATCAACCTGGTACAGTAATAATACCAAATTCCATGGGGAAATCAATTCAACAGCTCTAAAAGCCCTAAAAACCATTTAGGGCAAGAAAAACTAAAAGTATAAAAGCAAAGAAAACTAAAATCAAAACATCTTATAACTCAAATCTTTTTACTTGAAACAAAGTATTTAGACAGAATAATTACATTACAATAAACACCAGTGGCAATGGAAATCTAAATTTTCTGTTTAAAAAGACTCAAAAACAACATGAAGATATAAAAAAGGGGCATAATTTAAAACTAGTTAGAGAAAATATAAAGGAATATATACAACATGACACATTCAAATTCATCCAATTACCTAATTGTGTTGTAGGGCCCAGGAAGGATATTTAAGGTACTACTTAACTGTCCCCAACAGTAACATTTCTGCATGCATTTATTTCCAAGAGAACTTGCTTAAATGAGATATCTTGCTTTGACAAGTGATCACTCAAAGGCAGCTAAATGAATCTGATTCCCTGTTCTGCATTACATTGAAGTCCAAACCTATTACATCTTCTAATAAAATACCAATAGACTGTAGGGCAAAAATACTCCAAAAAGGTGACAAATCCTGAAAATACCACAAGGGATGTTCAGGGCACTAGATACTCAACAGCAAGTCAGGACAAAGGCCATGTAAATTAAGCTGACTCTGGAACCTGCACAGGAAGATATACCTGTCTTCATAAAACTCTACCTTGGTCACACTACTCTGCTGCTCCTTCTTTATTAGCTTTGCATTTCTTTCAGTTGAAATGAAATGTGGCTGCCACATGCAGATGCATGAGCAGGAAACAGTCAGTGATCAACCACCACACAACCCTGCTGACAAAGGACACAAGCTGTCTAGCACTCATAGGCAGGCCAAGAGACTTAGCTGCCAGATGGCTTACAAGGGCTGGTCCCCTCCTCCATGTGATCCTTCTGTAGTGCAGCCCTGCCAAGTCACATACCCTGTCCAACTACTGCCACTGCAAGGACTCCTGGGTGTAACTATGGCCACTGCCATGACTGTCTGGTTCTCTCCAACTGCTCAAGAAATGCCTTGCTTCAGAGACCTCCCAGACCCCTGGATTCTCCTCTGAAGACAGGGCCGCACTTCAGCATGCCTTCCTGCCACGCCTGTTTCCCATCCACACTCCTCCCAAGATCCCCGGCCCACTGCGGCTTCACTAAAGGTTCTAGTACCATGACTTCACTGCCATCATTGGAATGGCCAGAACTAAATAAAATACACAGACATGACATCTAAGCCAAAAAATATTCTGAGGTGAAAACCCCAAATAGAGACAGCTGTTTAGTTATAAGGAGGCAGTGAAAAATGTCTATGTATGCTAGAAAAAGTTAGGGCTTGGCAACAGCCTGCATATATTTTCTCTAGTTATTCCACAGTTGTGCAAGAAAAGTGCATGGGACATACACAGAGACACAGGTAATTTCTGTGCTGTTTTAAACATCAACACACAGCACCTCAACTGTGGCAGAAAAATTCTAAAATTTTCCACTTTTAATGATCCTTTCAAATAATCTGTAATTATCAGTTAACCAGCTTTGATGATGTACTCACTTGTAGCTTCCCATTCTGATTTACTTAAGGTTCCCTAAAATTAAAAAAGAAAGACAATTTTAGATATAACATGGAAGTAAACATACACTGATTTTTCAGTAGTGGACTAAGAAGGCCACCCACCCTCCCAACTTTCCTGTAAGCATATGCACAAATTACTGAAAAGTATCATGACCTGAGCACATAAAAGAAACCAATGAGAGTTAGCTTGCCCCACCACCAGGGCTGTACTAGGCATTGATCCCATGGCATATCATATTCTAGGTAATAAGCACTCTGCCACTGAGCTATGTCCCAAGCCTGAGATTAATTTTTAAAAACATCTTTTCACCACTTGTGTCCTCCCACCAAAAAGGGTGAATGTATCTAAAGTATTTCTTTATTTTTTTTTTACTTGAAAAATGAAAAAAATTTAAAGTCTATATTATAACATCAAAGAGCACTTGAAGAATATTTTTCTGTTTTCCAAAAGAACTCTAAAAGAAACTACAGACCACACAAAAGAAATTATGTTTAGTTATCAAAACACTGAACATTTCAGTCTAAAAACATGTGTTGCTATACACTCATCCAACAAGCGCTAGTGACAGCTCTAGGACCTAATTCAATTCCGAAGAAGCAATGAATGCAAACAATATTCCAGGACACCAGAGAAGCATGCCATCATGACGACTATAGCTTCCACTATGACAAAAGCACAGCAACATCAGACACCACCATGGTACAGTTATGTCCACAAGTTAAAAAGAGGATCGTCCACAGAAATGAGAATGAGGATGTCCTTCCCCCATTCCAGCCAGAGCACTCAGCCCTGAGTCAGCAGTACCTAGGGAAGCAGGGTAACCTACAGACTGTGCCTGTAACTTTCCCCATCTCTACTGTCTCAGACATAGCACTCCATGCTCAATTCACCTAAATAAGTTTGATTCTATATTCTGTGGCACCAAAGTCATTATAAGTTAGGGGAAGCATACTATGGTACATTCGAGTTGTAACTCACTAAACCCAGTACTGTAAACAAGTAGGTTTCCCAAGTTTCCATGTACACACATCTTAATGTATACTTTTCCCATTTCCTAGAAAATACTTCAAAAAATGAACCCTTACCAAAGGTAACCTTACGTGACTGTTCTTCATGTATTCTGCTGCATGTTCATAGTCATCCACCTTCTCAGAGATGAGCTTGGAATTCTCATTTGCAGGATAAGGCTAGGGGAACATTAGATTCTAACTGAAGATATCACATTGACATTTACAATTCAGAACACAGTAAATCACTGCAATAAAATAATAGGAGTAATCCAAAAGTGCTACTTCAGGGTTATAAACTACACATATTTCTGAAATATGGAGGGGAAAAAAGGTGGGGAAGTGTTACAAGGTGGCCACCAAAAGATCATGTGTGAGAATGATCAGAGATAAAATGATTAGTTTATGAGTTGTAGCCCAATCAATGGACTAATCCACTGACATAGATTAACTGGGTGGTAACTGTAGGCAGTAGGGTGTGGCTAGGGAATAGGACACTGGGGTTGTGACTTTGGGGTTTATATTTTTTCCCTGGTGAGTGGAATTCTCTCAACTTCCTGGTTGCCATGTCCTGAGCAGCTTTGCTCTGTCATGCTCCTCCACAATGATGTTTGCCTTACCTTGGGCCCAGAGCTATGGAGCTGGCTGACCGTGGACTGAATCTCTGGAACCATGAGCCCCAAATAAACTTTTCCTCCTCTAAGTTGTTCTTGTCAGGTCTTTAGGTCACAGCAATGAAAAGCTGACTAAAATGGAAGGAATCCTCTCTTAAAGCAGTTATTATGGCCAATTTTTATCACAATATTGGAATATTCATGGCTGGAACAAACTATATAATTTAATTACAACCCAGGACCATTTAGTGGCACACACAAACTGCATCTTCTTAACAGCCCACTCAGAGATTTCTTCTCTTAGAATACAAAGCTTAGAAGAGGTATTACCAAAAGAGCTAAATGTTAACATGATGGCAACGCAATAGCAATTAGAAATAATACATATAAAAAATTCAAGTCAACAGAAGGCCTTGTTTAGGATAGTAAAACATGTAGCTGGAAACAGTAGCATGTGCCTGTAATCCCATGGACTCAGGAGGCTGAGCTAGGAAGATTGCAAGTCCTATCTCAGCAACTTAGTGAGACCCTGTCCGCCCCCCCCCAAAAAAAATGTCGAGGATGTAGCTTAGTGGTAAAGCACTTCTGGGTCAATACCCAGTACCACCAAAAAACAAAACAGAAGATGCAAGTTCAAAAAGGTAAGACTTTTATGGCAAATATCAAATTTAAATCTCTTAGACTAAAGCTAACTGTTCTTTCCACCTCTGGTCTCAATGCACCTCCAAACTGTCCTCCATAATGCCACCCAAGTAACATCTTCTTATCAGGTCCTGGCCGCTCCTCCAAGTCATTTAGAGGCCATCGGAAGAGACTTGGTCAAGAAGTAGGAAAAAACTAAAGGACTTTTCCAAGCTGTGTGCTATCATTGCTTATGTTCCAGAGAGCCATGGTGATAGGTCATATTTTCAAGGCAGCACAGGGGAGAAGGAAAAATGGAGAAGAATGTGCTAAAGAAATACGACATTTATTACTACTTGCTTGAGCATCCACAGCTCTCGTGCTTCTCAGCCTTTTCCCTTCATGACTTCATTTTCAAGACGGCTAGTACTCTCACATCATGCTAAATTCTTTGCTTGTGAGTATAAGTGCTTAACAAACCATAAATCCTTGGTATCTCATACCCCATCTTCTAAGTATATTTTAAATAAGTTACACAAATGAATTCATCACTAGTGTGCTAAGTATAAATAACTGACCATTGTGCATGCAAAGCCTGTCAGTAAGCGCAGTGTGCTAAAGGCATAAAGCATGTGGGGACATAAGATACAAAGTTTCCAGTTTTCTCCTCTCCATCAAGACAAACGAAATAAGCTCCTGCTCTGAATACAGCACAAACAAAAACATTCCTAATTCTAAAATACAGGAAACATAACTAATGAACATTTAATTGACACTGGGTTGCAAAAGATCACTTAAGACTTAAAGAAAATCTTCTCACTTCATCTTGTGGGCATGGATGCAACTTCAACATGAGACTTTTGACTACTACCTATAACACTAAATAAAATATAAAAGCTAATAGCTATGTGAACTTGAACAACTCATTTTTCCTCTTTGGGCCTTGGGTTGCCCATTCAAAAGATGTGAAAAGTAAGGTGGGGGCAGATGGCAGGGAAATCAGTAGAAGAAAGGAACCAAGGAGTAGGAGGGAAGAGCTAGGAAGCAATACTGGCTAAATTACATTCATATATGACATATATGTGTACAAATATGTCACAACAAATCCCATTGTTATGTACAACTATAACGCACCAGTAAAAAATGTGGAAAAGAGTACAGAAAAAGGGGGAAAGGTGACTGCTTTTATTACTTTATAGGGTAATTATGAGAATAAGATGAAGTATGCTTCAAGTAATTAAAAGAATATTCTGAATTCAATGAACTCTCTGAACTTTAATGCCATTTTAAGTATACTTCTGGTCTGTGATCCTGGTCAACAATAAGCATCTCACTGAATAGTTGAGATCTGTCCAATTAAGCACTGCTTGATAAAGGAAAAAAAGAAATGCAATCAACGACTGTTTATAGTTTGTAGACTCCTTCACTGCTTTATTAGGAGGACAAGAGTCCCAGCAACAATAGCATAACAGACTAAAGTCTTGCTAAATAGTTATCAAAGATCAAAATTACAAATGGTGTGAGCTTATCTTATACTTTGGCCAAGAAGGTTCTAAAATACTGATGTAATCACAGGGCAGTGTTGTAAAGAAACCGTTTTCATCAGTGGGTAATTTTACCTGCCAGGGGATATTTGCCTGTGTCTGTTACTGGGGCCCAGGAGTACTATTGGCAGGCATCTAGTGAATAGAGCCAGGAATGCTGCTGAACACCCGAGGGTGCCCAGAATAGCATCTCACCACAAAGAAATATCCAGTCCCCCATGCCAACTGTCCTGAGGCTACTGTAAAACAGTGCACTGAATTTGATAACAGCATCATTCATTCCTTCATTAAGTAGTTACTTAGTACCCATCATGGAAAGTTTCTGTATCAAGCTCTGTCCTAGGAGCTGAACAGTCCTGAGCAGTTATGACAATCTGTGTAATATAAATATAACATATGACACACCTAACTAGTATCTAAACAGACTTGAAAGTATCTCAAGAGCAGTCAAACAAGTTCACCACATCTGGAATTTTTTTATCTTTTCTAAACACTTACCTCCAGGGCCTGCATTCGTTTTAATAGCATTTTATTTTCATTGTTCTTAATTTTTTCTTCATAGAATTCCAGAAATGTTTTTTTGTAGACTAGTTTCATATTGTACTTCTTTGCCATTCTGTCCAAAAGATTAATAAAAAGGCTTTCAAAATGTTCCTCAGCAGCTTACTTTTGCAGTGAAAACAGTGACATCAGGGTTTAACTCTAAAAGTGATTATTTCTATCATAAATTTGTGAGTTAAAAATAAAAAACTGAAGAGTTGACATACTGATAACCCCACCAACAAAGACATGCATTCTAAATCCTAGTGAGTAGCTTCTGTTTCCTAAAAAGTCAGTCAGGAAATGAAAGAAAGAACAACTTCTCAGGGACTGCAGGGAATACTTTTTTACCAATTCCATTTTATTTTGGTTGATACACTATGGCTGCATTGAAAACAGCTGCCAACTGCCTTTTTAAAAGACTCACTCTCATCTCTCTGGCAGGATGCACTATTAACTTTAACACACATCTTGGACTGCTTCTTTTTAGTTTATTTTATAGGTTTCTTTTAACCTGACTTCTAAGTTTCAAGGGTTTAAGAGAGTGTGGCTCAGAGCCTCTCTTGCCTGCCCTGACTACCCAGCATGCTGAAAGCTGTCTGAGGCTCGCTCTATCCAGTCATATTCCATTACTCCATTGCTTATCAGATATCCCTCCCCCGTGTGTCATGTCCTCGAACTTCTCATATCCAAGGCTGAACCTCATGACTGCTTTTCTGCCAATCTCTGCTACTGCAGTAGATCCATGTCTCGGTCTCCTACACGGACTATGCTTATACTTGACCGAGTCCTTTAGTGTCCACTTCCTATCCCTTCACTTGACACCATCCTGCACCAATCATCATCATTTCGCTGTTTCAGTCCAGAAACCATTTTACTCGTCTCCTGTTTCCAGTTTTATCCTCTCTCAATAGAACCAAATAAGTTTTCAAAAAGATAACCCTGGTCATATCACTACCCTCTTTAGCCTCCTTCACTGAACTCCAGTGTACTTGGGACACAATTTGAAAGCTCTGAACATGGCTTCTGAGGCACTCATTTATAAAGGGATGCTGCCATCTCTCGAGTGGCTGGGCCCTGATTCCCTATGATCCAGTCACAGTGGCTTTCCTTCAGTTCATGGCACTAGCCAAGTTTTCCCACTTCCAGACTCTCGCACAGTGTCCTTTATGTTAGAAACACTCTTCCTGCCTTCAACTGTCCATTCATCCTTCGTACCCTGACTTAGCACTCCTTCACAGGTGTCTTCCTGAAATCCTCAAGTGTCTCCTATTACACCATGGGTTTGTTTTCTCCACTCTATCTGCAAAGTTTATAAAAATTATGTATGTGTTGACAACAATAAGAGCCTTAATGATTTTAAGGAGCAGGTAAGGAGGAGAGGGAAAGCTGGGCATAGTGATGCATACCTGTAATCCTAGCTACTCAGAAGGCTGAGGCAGGAGGATCACAAATTTGACTCCAGCCTATGCAAATTAGCAAGCTCTGACGCAAATAAAAAGGGCTGGGGACAGCTCAGTAGAAGAGTGCTTACCTAGCATGCAGGAGGTCCTGGATTCAATCCCAGTACCATCAAAAAAGGGGAAAAAGGAGAGAGAGAGAGGAAGAGGAAAACCCTCATAAGGCAGGTGGGAGGGCTTGAGTGTGAGGGGATAGCAGACAGGTAACTGAGGCCCCTCTGTTATCTCAATTAGCCCTTCTTGGAAAGTCAGAATGAGCAAAGATAAGTCTCTGATTCTATCAATCTTCAAAGAAAGTCTTTAGAAAGGAAACCAGGTTTTATACCTAAAAATATCGCAATTACAAGGAACTAAATTTGGATAACCTGAATGGGTTTTATAGTAAAAGCTATTTATATTTTTATTCAGGTTTTTATTGGAAAAGGGCATCTTAAAACTGCTATCATTTTCAGACTGTCTCATTAAGTACCTGTTTGAATAAATTAATTAAAAATTAGATATTAAAACTGAGTACTGTGATTCATAAGCTTATCCAATTAGGCAACTTATCATTATTAGGCAGCAGGTAGACTGGTAAGTTTGTGTAGCACTTATGAAGAATAAAACTGTTTTATTTCTTCTTCTATAAAGTTTGAAGAGTGGTAAATTTCTCCAAAGCTAACTAAATCTTAAGAATTTAAAAAATGTTATAAATAGCTAATATTTATAAAATCATACATAGAATTTTCCTCATGTCTAGTCATAATGTTACTTGACCTTCTTATACCATTGTATAGAACTTGTACATATTATAAACTCCTGAAAACCTTATAACCATAATTTTAAAAACTAACTTGAGTCCCAATTTAAACAATTACCAAGCAAAACTAAGCAGACAATAAAACTTGCTTTTCTCAGTTGATATTTAACAGATTTTTATTTTCAAAAAGTAGGGAACTGAGTTTGATCAGCTGTCACATGGGCTCCATTTAAGTGGATCTTATCTTCTCCCCACCAGGGAAATCACCAATATCAAGACATATGAGAGGGCCTCAAAGCTTTACCTGATAGAGCCCAGCATCACAACTATTCCTACAATCTACAGTTTGCCAGGACTCTTGGGAATTCAGGCACATGGGAGAATACACTCCTGAATCAGGATTTTATTATCAACATTGCTGGTAAGATATAGGCAATTGCAAAACTATACTGAAATGCAAGACTTTGATACACAGCTCATTTAAAAGAAGGACTTTTGATTTAATAAAACTCATTTTATACTAGCAAAATTACAAGCAGTTGCTTAAAGAAAAGCTTTTTGCTAACTGTAAAGTCAGCTATTTTCTGTTACAAGGTGAAAGCAACTGGCTCTTTTTCTTAAATAACTACAGGACTAAAAGAAAATTTGGGCTATAGGAAGCCTAGGGAACCAATCCTGGATCTGAGGCTACCATCTTGTATACATGGCTAGACCTTTCCTTTGGACCCCATTTAAAATAGAGGATAAGTAGCAATATTGGTTTTTCTTCCCCTTTCTTTTACTCATAAGACATAAAAAGAATAGTAACAGATAAATGACATTCTTACTCAGTTAGCAATGGAAAATAGACCAAGAATTCAGGAACATCCACAACACCTTCCAAGTTGAAGTCATATTTGCAGCCAAATAAGGGATAATGTCCTTTCTTCTCAAACTTCACAGTATAGATTTCATTTCCAAATGATTCTGTTTCTGAAGCTTCAAGACGTCTTCTAGAAGAGTTATTCCCCAACCCCAACAAAAATATTAAAATTGTGATCAGTATAAATTATTTAAACCAGATTATGTATTTGAAAAGCTATATGATGCAATTGCAAAAGACACTTGATTGACTCTGTAACTGGATTCAAGCTACTTTTAAGAATCAGCATACTATAAGACCATTAACAGTCTCACTAATAAAATTAAGCTAGAAGATATCATTTTCGTGACAGCTGGGCTAAGTCTCTGGGCCTCAGCAGCTGACTGGGGAGTCTGCCTACAACTATAACCTCTGGCTTAATGTAAGTAAGTCTCCAACTTACACATAAGATTTTAAAAAATTCATCTTTGAGCATCTACTCAAATACATTATCAAAGTGGTCAGCATTTGTAAAACTAAATGGCATATTTGTATAAATTTTATTTGTGATCAAAATGTGCTACTTAATTCTGTAAGCTTAATGTTAAATATTCTATAAACTCAAAGTAGTTAAAAGTGCTTACATCAGCTCAAAGCTGTTAGGAGTTGTACCAATAAAATAACCTCCAGGACCGAGTCTCTCACAGGCATTTCTGAGCATCATGTCGGCCTGCTCAGAGGACTCAAATGAGTAATGACAGACAAACTGACAACTACAGATGTCAAAGCGCACTTCTGGGTCACGAAATTTGTCAGCCAGAAGTTCCTGAAACAAATTAAATGGGTTAAGGTTTTGAAATAACAGCATAGATTAAAAACTTTACTTAAATTAATTCCCAGAATTTAGGATTCTTAAAATATGCCCTGCTAACTAATCTTTGTTCAAAGTCTTCAAACTGTTTTTTTCCTTGTTATATATAAGAACCTTAAAAGAAATCATTCTTTCATTCTAGTTTAAAAGACTTAACTTGCTTCCCATTTTCAGAATAATTTAAAAATGTAGGCCTTGGGGTTGGGGTTGTAGTTCAGTGGTCGAATGCTCGCCTAGCACATGCAAGGCCCTGGGTTCAATTCTCAGCACCACATAAAAAGAAGTAAATAAAGGTATTGTGTCCAATTACAACTAAAAAATAAATATTTTTTTAAAAATGTAAGCCTAAAATCACATTAAAAGTCAATCAAGCTGGGTGCTGATGGTGCATGCCTATAATCCCAGTGGCTTGGGAGGTTGAGGCAGGAGGATCTCGAGTCAGCCTCAGCAAAAAGCGAGATGCTAAGCAACTGAGTGAGACCCTGTCTCTAAATAAAATACAAAATAGTACTGGGGATGTGGTTCAGTGGTCAAGGGTCCCCTGAGTCCAATCCCAGGAACCAGGAAAAAAAAAATCAAATATGACTCTTAAAAAATTAATCCCTTCATTTGGCTTTACTTGACAGCTAAAGTAAAATGACATTCAATAACAACTTGGGTTAAAAAAGAGAAAAACCTGACCTTTGGAATCTTAAATACAAGTGTTTACTACATTTCTTTCTTACTTCCAAAATTATAAACAAAATGTGTACAGTGATTAAAGCCACCCAATGTTTAAATGAGCTAACAAAGTCAGACATGCAGCACCAATTTCACAGTGGATCTTCACTGCTCAAGTACCTCTACAACTCTTCAATCTTAAATAGTTCAGAAATTTCAAAACAGGTGGAAGTGGGCTGGGGAAATAGCTCATTTGGTAGAGTGCTTGCCTCACATGCACAAGTCCCTGGGTTCAATCCCCAGCACCACATACACACACAAAAAAAAGGTGAGATGGAAAAAACAAAAAGATTCTGCTATGCTGGGAAACTAATAAATTACAAAGAAAACATACTAAGTTCAATTCTACTTAAATAGCCCATCCCAGCTTCATGTTCTACACCAATGGATTCAACCAACCGTGGGTTTGAAAAAAAAAAAAAAAACACATTTGTTATGGGCCAGGCCATATGGGTAATGACCAAACACTCCATTTTACCCTGAGACTCCATATCATGTAAGAAATGCTTCTCCCATGGGAAAGTCCCACCTCTGTACCCATTAACAGTTACCTAGCATAATATACTTGGCAACACAAAGTATAACAAAAAATTGTTCTCTTCTTTTTCCATTTTTCTTGGGTGATATACCCTGTCAGAGATTGTCGTTAGTAACCATTCTCTAACTTGTACTCAACTAGGGTCATTTTGACCCACTTCCCTTCTCTTTGCTTGCTGCTATGCCAACCTGGAAAGTCCTGTGGGAAATACCAATGTTCCCACTGCACTGCCTCACTAACTGCCCAATCCAGCTTCTGTACCTGCTTGCTTACAGCTATGTCAACCTGGATGTGATTTTTGCCTTTAAATAACGTAAAATGCTCAGGCTTGGGGCTGTTCCTTGCAGAGACAGTTATGGGTCCTCTGGGGAGCAGTCGCTGGCTGGCCAGCTAAATAAAGACTCTTCAATTTGGACAAAACTGGGACTTGGTGTGTTTTCTGAGCGACCTGCCCCACAACACATTGAATATGTATACTTTTCTCTCTGTCATTAGTCCCTTAACAATACAGTTTAAGAACCATCTACATATTTTTTACATTATATTAGGTATTGTGAATGATCTAAAGATATTTCAAGTATGTGGGAGTATGTGAATAGGTTATCTGCAAATACTGTGCACCCCTCCCCCGCATTTTATATAAGGGACTGAAGCATCTGTGAATTCTGGTATCTGTGGGTCCTAGAACCTAAACTCCACTTGGCTACCAAGGGGTGATTATACTAGGAAATAGATCTCGCCCAAATCAAAAGGCAACAAAGTAATTTCAACAACTCAAATTATTAAAAGCAAAAAAAATTCCCAGAAGTACTCAATGGGTTACTGAAGGGAATTTATCATAATAGAATTTCTAGTTGAAACTGAAAATGTCCTAAAATTTTTAATGTTTCAAAACATATTTTAATAAATGCACTGCATGGAAAACAAAAACAAAAACAAAAACCCTGTACCTTTGAACAGTCAGCAGTTATAAATTCTGCATTAAAAATATAATCATCACGACGATTTTTCATGTCCTCGTACCGCTGCTGACACTGTTTGACAGAAATATCAGCAATATCTGGAAAGGCAGAAGAGTGTTAGACACCATCAACACAGAATGGCAAAAATCTAGACAACAATCTCAACTGATAAAACTTGTCATGAAATCCAGCCTTGGTATCAGCAAGAGGTTCTATTTCATTTAAAATTCTTTGTCCCAGTGCAAAACTCCGCATTATTTCTCAAAAGGATCTAGGTTATGATACAAGCACTTCATCATCAATACAAAGCAGCAGCACCAAATGCCACTGGCAACACTTCACACACTCTTCACCACTATGAACCAACTGGAAAAAGCCAGTTCGCTTAATGTCCTTGATAAGTCACTAAAACATAATTTTATTAAATCTTGGTTCTTAAATACATGTCTTTTGATATTGTGTGTGATGAAATGGGAAGTAACAAAACTTGGTTTTGTCATATAACCAAGTGTTGCCAGTTGCCTTACAGAACAAGCTACTGTGACTTGTTCTGAGTTGTGAGCACATTGGCCACTTTTCTTACAGAAAGTAATTCTGATGTGAAAAAATGATGGGTTAAAAAAAAATGGTTATTCAGACTACAGTATCTTAGAGACATAGATATAAGTGTCACTTCAAAAACAACCATGGATAGTATTTGTTGCCAAAGATAAAATTTGACTTTTAAGCAAAAATTAAAATTCTGAAAAAGCTGTATTGGCCACCACTGGTAAGCAGCTTCCTAATACTTAGGGCTTTTCTCATCAATGGTGATATATTTAACAAATGTGATTTCTTGGTGTCAACACTTAGAACTGCATAACTTTACAGAATTTCCCAAATATTATAAAACCATGCAGAATGTGCAGGACACACTAATGGATTTTTTGGAACCTAGTATGGAGAACTCATCAATAAGGTAAGAGTTTCCACATTATAATAAACCTTTAAGGAACTACCACTTGTTGAGTTTTGATATAGAATCAAAGATGAATATTCACAATTATCTGAAAAGACTATTAAAATGTTTTTTCATTTTATAACTATGTATCAACTAAAATAACATAAAACATCGACTACAGACACTACCACAAGTCTAGCTGTCTGCTATTATTCCAGTCTTTAAGGGCTAGCAAAAATGTAAAGAAAAATACCAGTCTTCTCATGAAGTTTATTTTAATGAATCAAAACACTTTAAAACTGTTTTATTTCTAAAACCATAAATATCAATCTATAGCTAGAACCACATACACAAAAGCATTCTAGAGTCCTCAATAATTTTTTAAGTATACAGGCTCACCAAACCAAAATCTTGGAGAGCTGCTTCTCAGGCAAACTGCAGGAGATGCTGCTCTCCTTCCTCAAACTCCTCACATCACAAGGAGTGTGGCGTCTGCCTGGCCCACGGCAGGGTCAGACTGACCATGGGCCCAGGTGCTAGGAGAGGAACTTAACAGTTAAGTTCCTATTACCCTTTCATTGAATGGTTAAGCATCTTATTAAGATTGTGGCCTAGATCTATGATTTTTCTAATTCTATCATTTGTCCTCTCTTTATTATGATTTTTCAATAAAGAAATTTCCTCTTTCAACCATCTGGTTTCCCTGAAATACTATTCAGGTAGGGAAGAGGTAAGAAAAACGTTTTATTCCTTCCTCTTAAAGTACTGAGTTACAAAATATAAATCTCTCAGCAACCTCTAAGAGTGAACATGAGTCTTTTTCATTTGACATGCTGAGTCACTGTTGTTTTTGATGTTCAAATTTCTACCTTGGCCAGTGGAGATCTTTGCAAATTTGTCCTGTAGACATGACTATTATCTTTGATAGCTTCCTTCCTTTGGGGAAGAACAAGTTATCACAGGCTCACTATCTATTACAAAATCATCAGAAAAGTCTTACAATTAATTTTTGAAAACATCCTTCTCGTACATAGCCCCTAGACACCTTACCTAAAGATGTTTTAGCTTTTGCTAATAAAGAGATCTTTCAAATTGCCCATTCCCCTGACTGATAAGACTGATCACTGGCCATTCCTTCCTAGACTAATGGTTAACTTACCAGTACAAATGAGCTTGCTAATTCTTCCCTTTCTCCACTTTAGCAAATCTCCACCTTTACCACATCCCAGGTCCAAAACAGTGATATCGCGATTTTTCCTCTGTCGTACCTTTTCCAAAAATTCCCCTAAGAGAGAAATCAGGCATAATAAATGGGCTTTTCTTAACTTTTACTGAAGCATAAACTGTTACTTAATAATCTACCAATGTCTAATATGTAATATAAATTATTACACTTCATTTACTTAGTTATCTGTAACTTAACAGTTCAAAATATGACCAAGAATTAACTAACTTGATCTATATCTGAAGACTGGCACTTCAGTTTGGCACTTCAGAAAGTTAAGGCAGCTTTTTGAAGGTTACTTTTAGAATCTGAGTCAACATCAAACAGTAAACATTTCAAATTCTAATTTATACAAGAAGATGCAATAAGAGAAAAAAACTATTCATTCTTTTTAGCTTTCTGTTTCTAGGTGTTCAATTACACATTGACTAATAGTTTCTGATTCACATAAAAGCAATCAGGCTTACCACTAAAAGAAAAACAAAAACTTGTTGAAAAACTCTACTCACCTTTTAATTTTCAGATCATCAGAATCTTTAAACATACTTATCTACTGAAATACATTAATAGCCAACAAATAAAAATCATAGGTGCCCAAATTAATAACCAAGTAGAGCAACCTCAGTTAAAGGATTGTTAATATATTAAAACAAAGTATTCAGCAATTCCAAAACTTGACATAATAAAGAATCCTAGGATCCACTTTCCCTGTTTTTATCAGAGTTCAAAACTTTCTAGGTTCATGCATGTACTACTATTTTGATGCTAAAACATTCTATATAAATACTTCTGCCTTTCAATGTCTATAAGATCTGAAAGTAAATTTGAGAGAAGCACAAGTGTTCCATATTTAATTTTGTCATGAATCTTAAAAAAATATCATGAAAACAACCAGAGAGTTAATAAATAATTATAAAATCTATTTCTACATAGTAAGGCTAAGAGGAAAATTACCATGAAACATTATTTTCAAAAAAAAAAAAACTTTATCACATTCAAGAACTATTAGTAAGCTATAAGCACTACAAAAGCAAAAAATGAATAAAGAATGTGTTTAGGAGATAAAGGAAACACCGAAAGGGAGCTTGGCACAGATCACACTGACTGCATTACAAGCAAGACAGGTGTGGACCACAAAGAGCTCTTTGAAAGAATTGCTGAGTTTCCTAATTATAAAAATAATGTAAATAAAATGTGGCAAAATATGGGCTCAAGATATTTATTCAATGAAAAAAATACATGGTTAAATGATACATTGTTAAAAAAAATATCCAGTAAGTTACCTGCTTCAATGAGGATAATTAAGACAAAAACACCTGAAAAGAAATTAGGACTAGGTCAGAGTTTAAGAATAGAGGCTGAGCCCAATACTTTGGGCTGGTTATGTAGCTTAATGGTGGAGCACTTGCTAAGCATATACAAGGCCCTGGGTTCTTTCCCCAGGACACAAAAACAAAACAAAAAAAAACTCAGAGAAGCAGACACTCATTTACCCTAGCCAACAATGGCAGAATCAAATAAGTCACATTTCTATAATGAATAAGAAAATGTTTGGGCTGGGGATGTGGCTCAAGCGGTAGCGCGTTCGCCTGGCATGCGTGGCCCGGGTTCGATCCTCAGCACCACATACAAACAAAGATGTTGTGTCCGCCAAATACTAAAAAATAAATATTAAAATTCTCTCTCTCTCTACCTCTTTCTCACTCTCTAAAAAAAAAATAAAGAAAGAAAGAAGCAAAAGCTATAAGATATATATTTATAAAAAAAAGGAAAATGTTATTTAATGTTAAAAATAAAAATGACAAAGAAAAATGATTTGAAATTAGCCTAGTTAATTCCTACTCCTAATGCTTCTCAGAATAGATGATTTTTTTTCTTTGAAAACTATTATCATCAAAACCAGTAGAAAATACTCATAATTAACACTTTATTCATTCTAATATATTAAGAATGCATTCTTGCTTTTGCTTAAACTGGCTAAAAAAATAGAACAAAATAACCCTTTTGAAAAGCTTCAAAAAACACCAGCCTTCAAATACTCTCTAAACTCGTGTACCATAAGTCTACCCATTAATTATAATTATATTCTGAATTATATTTTGTCCACTCTCTTCCATTTTAATTTCAAAGGTAAGTTTCCATAGATAAAATGTTGGTTTCAAAAAGTTTAATGTTTTTATTAATCCTCAAAGTAAACTTTATTTCTTCTAAGAAATCATCCAACCCATCCCTTGCCAAAGTTCAATGGACCATCAATGCCAACTCACTAAAGGACCAGAGATTAAAAAACAAACCTAATAACAAATCTCATGACGCGGCCCATTTTCTTTACTTAGTGTAACCAATGCAGCAACAGGCCAATGCTCAACAACTTTTAGAGTCAAATAACCACTTAATAGTACTAGACCACCTTAATTCTAAGTAGAAAGAAGCACACTGCTTTTTGAAAAAGTCTGATCAACTTAACATCAATTAATACCCTAGGCAATCAATCAAAAGTATATAGGAGCCATGCAAGGTGGTGCACACCTATAATCCCAGTGGCTTGGGAAGCTAATACAGGAGGATGGCAAATCCAAAGCCAGCCTCAGCAATTTAGCAAGGCCCTCAGCAACTTAGTAAGACCCTGACACAAAAAATTTTTAAAAAGGGCTGGAATATAGCTCAGTGGTTAAACATCTCTGGGTTTGGTCAATTCCTGGTACCAAAATGAAAAAAAGAGAAAAAGTAAATAGGAAAAAGATTTATCTCAAACATCTGTTTTGGCTCCAGCTTTATAAAGTCAAGGTTTTGATCACTGAATGAATAAGAATTAAAAACCCAGTAGTTTGAAATATGGTTAACAATGGGAAGGGAAAAAATAAAGAGGAAAGCTAGGGCTGGGGATATAGCTCAGTGATAGAACCCTTTCCTAGCAAGCTCAAGGCCCTGGGTTCAATTCCCAGCACTGCAAAATAATTAAATAAAATTTGAAACAGCCTCCATACTAAAAGGAAAAAAACCAACCATACCTATAAGCACACTTTTAATCCAATTATTAAAGTTTCTTAGGTAAAAAATACGACTTTGACTACGCTTGTCCAAACCAACTTCCTTAAGCTCATTATAGTGGGCAGCTACTGTTGAGCTGTGTCCTCCTTCCAAGTTCTGAAAATAGAAGAAAGAAAATTAAGGTTCAAGATTCAGAACATGGTTTTAAAAACAACAATAACAACAACAACAAAAAAAGCCCAACAATAGCAACATAAAACCAAATCACCTCAGAATATCTGACTTATGGAAGAAAAAACAATTACTGAAGTAAACCTTACTAAGCAAAGGCATTATCCATGTAAATGCCACTAATCATTACCAGACCCAAGGTGTGTTCTCCTCTATTCCCTATGAAAAACAATCTAGGTTTAAAATTTTTATATTGATTTTTCAGCTGTATAATTTTAATGACAATATCTTAATAAAACCAATCTATTGTGTTCCTACAAGAGAATAAAACAGAAACAAGCTATTACATTTGTTATATTATTATAAAATTGTTATGAGGATTAAACATAAGGTAATGTTTAAAGAGATTAAAAGATAGTAGGCTATGTTCAGTGTCAGTGACCCCCACTATATACTATTAATCTAAATCAACAATTTTCAATCTGCATTCTATAAAGACACTAGGCATTATATAAAAATTCCGTAGTGGGTAAAGGGCTTCAGATTCTCCCACCTTCCTTATCCTCATCTTTTATCTACCTTACATGTGGGGTTTAAGGGTAAAATTTCATTTGGAAAAAAAAAAACAACATGCCAGTAAATGTCTGAAAAACTACATATAAAATACAAGCTTCCCTTTGTTTCAAGAACACCAACATGAAAAGCATGGCCTGCCTCTTTAGGGACAATGGCCAAAATTTTACTCCTCCTTTACTTTTCTCTCCAACTCCAGATTCTGTCTCAACTTTCCAATACTGTAAATGATTTGCTATCCTTTGCTCCCCAATTTCCCTGGCAAATATCAGGGAAATTTCATCAATTGTATTTAAACTACACTAATGAGAAGTTTGGTATGGCCGTAGTTCATAGACAAAAATGGCTATTAATTAAAGTGGTGGCGCCAGATCCTCAAAAAGAAGTTGGAGATAAATGCAGTTTAATTACATCAATAAAGGAATGTAGAGTAGAGTATGATTTTGAAATTTGCCACTTTAAGTGACCATCTTAATTACCTCAGACAAAACCAAAAGAATGAATATCCAATGAAAAGGGAAATAGATAAATAAATCATGTGGACCTCATATATTCTTCTCTTTTTTAAAAAACAATGGCCTTCAAGTTTCTGGTAAGAATTCTGAAATAACATAAAAATTACCTCATGTGATTCAAGTTCACTCTAACAAAAATTAAATGCTAATAATTAAAAGCCTATTGTGTCTTAAAGCCACATTTAGTAAAACTAGAATATTCTTAACTTATAAATATGATTATTTAACAACCAGCGTTAATTCACATCTGCTCCACATTTCCAGCTAACATATTCTACCATAAATAAAACCCATTTCACATACCTTCTGCCTTTCAGGAACATCCTCAAGTTCTACTTTTCTCTTTTTCTGAGTGCCATCTCCAGTGGAAGGTTCATCTTTCAGATCATCCGTTTCCAGTTTTCTTTTCCTTGAAACACCTTCAACATCACCAGAACCTTTTTCCTCTGGGACAATTTCAACATCAAGTTTTCTTTTCTTGGATGGACTGTCTTCCTCATATCTGGAACTTTCCTCTACAAGATCATCTTCAAATTCTTTTCTCTTCTTTGGTGTGTCTACTTGCCCACAGACAGAAGTCTTTACAGAAAACCCAGTCCCAGAAGCTGTTGTGGTTTCATCAATACTGAATGAAGTCTCTGTTTCAGAATTTACTGATGTTTTTGCCTGTTCAAGAGCCATTTTTTAATATTCCTCTGCTTTTGCAGAATTTTCTATTCTTGATTATTTGAATCGATGATAAAACTTCATGAACCAACACTAGAATGGCAAGAATTTTATGTTATTTACAAACATTAACGCCCAAACTCTAAAACAATTTTAAATAGAAGCTGGTCAATTAATTTCATTATCTTACTGTAGAGAGAATATTGCAAAATGTTAATATATGTATATTAGGTATGAATTTCTATAATTATTCATAAAAGTCACTATGGGCATTAAAATTGACAAAAGCAAGGATATACAAATAAGGTGGAGCATCGTAATTCCCAAATCCCAAGTTTTTTGCAGTACCCAACAGAAGCACACACTTTATTAGTAAGCAACTGTGGTTAACCAAAAACTAAGCACAAATATTACTCTTTTCCCAATTCATGTGTAGTAATTTTCTAAACTATAATTGATAGAATGTAAATACTTATTAAATCCTTTGGATTAAACTACTTAACAAAGGGAACTGTTAGACATCTCTTCTGGTTTAAGGGGCTAAGTGAATCGAGAAAAAGGAATTGAATAGCAAGAACTACTGAAGTACTTATTTCATAATGGGCATTCCAATTAGGTGAAAAGTGAAGAGAGCTGAAATGGCTCTAGACAAGTTCCAAGATCACCCTGCAGTTTAATAACCAGTAAGTTTTTTTTCAAATATGTTCTTTGGCCTACGGAAGGGCGAGGAATAGAACTGAACTATCTTTTGGACAGGAATTATTATGGTGGTTTGCTTATTAAGTTAGTAAATTTACTGCTCTCCTATTGCAGAGGAGCTCTATGTGAATTATGTGTTCAAGAAACTTACTACATACATACTACTATTAAACTGTTAAACAGTATTATTCAAAGGAAGTAGAAAAGAGAAAGCAAAAGTTCAACCAAAAAAAAGAAAATGCGAGATCCATTAAATATAGATTAAATTCAGAGCCTGGAAATTATGAAGAGGGATTTTTTTTTTTTTTTTTTTTTTTAGCCTTGTGCACAAAGAAAAAGAATGTCAAGTTGCTTAAGGGAATAGATATAAAGAGTCACTATGAGACCCAGATGGATTTCAAGCAACATTAACTTTCACTGGTTGGGTAAGGTATTTTGTTACCAGTACCAAAAGATGTCAAGCAGGAAGAACTGACTGGGGGGAGGAGGGGGGTCAACCAGAAAAGTAATTTGCAGACTAACTATTTAAAATGATTATCTAGGAAAACTGGTCTCCGGATTACCAGATTTCTATTTCTTCTCCTTCATTTATTTCTTACAAAGAAAAAGATTTTACATTCAAATAAAAAACTCTGGTTTATCATCTTCCGCTGCAATTATCGCCTAAAATTAGCACTGGAACTTCAGCGTGGACTGTATTTTCTGTATTTACACAGGGCAATCTTTCCACACATGCGCTACATAATCCCCCAGAATAGAGAGCATAGCACCCAGGAGGCCTACAGTACTGGATAAGGACACTCAAAACCGGGCGTCAACTGGCTCAGGGCTTCGCTGGCACGGGCCTGCCCACCGTGGAGGCTGCACCCCAGAATCTCACAGGCGCACTCTCCAAACCGACTCCAGCTGGCCCCAGAACCACAGCAGCCGCGGGCCGCAGACCCCGGGGCGACGCACGAGAAGCGTGGGGTGCCGAGCGAGGCTGTGGACCACGCCTCCGGAGCCGGCTCCGCCGCCGGCCTACACCTCCCGGGACCAGCTCGCCTGTCAAGCCAGGGCGCGAGACCACGCCACAGAAGGGCTGCCACAGAAGGGCCTCCCCAGCCGCGGTCCCCTTACGTCACCCGCGCGGCCTAACGCTGGACCTGGATTCATGCTTCTGCGGCGCCGCTCGGACAAAACGAGCCCGCTCCGGACCTCACGCCGGGCCCGCCCCGGGCGCGCGCTGGTGCGGCTCTGCGTCGGTCGCGCGGGCCCGCGCGCTGCGGAGGAGCCATAGCCCGCCCGCCCGCCCGCACGCCCCGAGCAGCACCCACTCTGCCGAGCGCCGGGGGCTCCGCGCGGCCGGTGCGGGAGGCACACGGCTCGTGCGAGGCGAGCCCGGCCTGGAGTCGGCGCGCTCTTTCTGCTGCCTCCTCCAGCCGACAGGCTAACGACAAAACAGCACCGGGCGACCGCCGCTCCGCCAGCCACACTCACCTACACAGCCACCCACGATTCTGTTTGCGGAAACGGCGGCTCCGCGCCACGCGAGTCTTGTTACGTCACTTCCGGGGGCGCGAGGTCACGTGTCAGGACGTCCCGTCTGGGAGCGCACCTCCTCCGCGCCGGAACTACGAGTCCCGAGGTGCCGCGCGCGGCAGCGTGCAAAGAAGCACCTCGGCGCGGGAGGCCGAGCGCATTGGTGGTGGGCGCGGCTGGCGGCCGGGGGCGTGGGGCCTAGTGTCCGCCGGATCCCCGCGGGTACGCCGGCCCGACCCGCGTCAAGTGGCTCGGCCGAGGACCCCCGCGGTCTCCGAGGAGCTGTGGTCGGGCTGTGCAGCGGGAGCGGTCGTGAGGTAGCCTGGGCCCCAGCCCCGTGGGACCGCAGGAGGGCCCCGGAGGGCACCTTCAGCGCGGGCACGGACCCGGCAGCTGGCTGGCGCGCGCCTCTCCGCGGGCTGGGCGGGGTGGTCCGCGCCCGCCGTCCCGCGCCGAGGGGTCACCTCTGCCTGGCGGCGGTGCACCCTTTCCAGCCCGCTTCGGAACCCGGGCCCTCTGCTGTTACCTTCTCGGGAGCGGGTGGGAGGGCGGCCCGGGGCGTCCGCCGTGCAGCGTCCTCTGCTTAGGGACGACCAGGTCGTCTCGTCCCGCGGTACTTGGGACCTTCCTCCGCGCAGGCCCCGCTCCACTGTCAGGTTCTAAGGCGGCCCATAGGTGCTGGAGGAACCCCTTGCGCTCTGTTCTGGATAGCTGGACTTTGGCTTGGGCTGGTGGCGGGAGGAGGCGACGCGCGGTCTTTGACCAACCATCACCCTGGATTTCCACTGGGGAATCGGGAGGCGCCTACTGTACTGAAGCCCTGATTCTGGGCATTCGCGCCGAGATTGGGTTCGGAACTGTGCCTGTGAATGGACAGAGTTGTTGATGCGTGTTCGTATTACCATTGCTGAGCCACACCTCCCGCCTAAAGTGGGTAAAGAGTGGATTTAGAATCCATCTAGGATTAGGCTTTACCAAAATTGATCCCTATAAAAGCGGTCATGGATATGTGTTTTACCAGGCTATCTTATTGTTTTTGGTACAGTGATATTAATTAATAGACTGGGCTTTGGAGAGAGCTGTATTCCCAGCATGTGCCTCCCAGGCTGATCATTGATAAATTGTGGGTGTTAGCCCTTCCCAGGTAGCCTGTTGACCCTTTGTAAACTTTGAACCAAGAAAGAGACCCATTTTTAATAAATACGGAAGAGCTATCAATTTTGGAGGTCTGTCCTTGTATTTTTTTATTATGTGTAAATAGCTGGATCAAGAATTAGCCTTTGAGTTCATGAATATTGGCAACCTCGTAGGTATAGGTCCTAGAGATTAAGAGTGCTTTTTACCTATTCAAACATTAGAAGTGGGCATTTGCTCATTCTAATGTTTTGATTTTGGTTTCTTGAAATAATTGCTGTTATAAGTGTTGAGAAAGTGAATCTAATTTTGACCTTAAATTTTTTTTTCTCATTAGATTAAAAGTCTCTTAATACATGCAGACTTCAGGATCAGTTGACACTATACCATGGGATATGTAAAGATCACATTTTTTCGCTTTTGTAAAACTTAACTAGATACGATGTAAAACCAATTGAAAAGAGAGAAAGAATTCTTAATGGTGAAAGAGAGTAAATAGGCCAGATAAAAATGTTTTACAAGTTACCATTGGTGTTATTTTCCCCTATTATTGCCTGAGTAACCTAATCTCTGGTTCTCTGGAAATTGAATGAAAGTAATAGATAATGCCTTAATAACCTCTGTGTGCCAAACTAAGCACTTTGCACATTTGTGCTCATTCAGTTCTTCTGCAATCCAGTAGAGTTATGATTATCTTTGTATTATAGATGAGGATGAAGTAACTTTGCCAGGTCATGCACCTGTGAGTAGTGGACTCAAGCTGCAGACACTAGAATCTCTACCACTAATGAAATAGTGCCTGCTCAAAGGCCATATATGGCAAATGAATTTTCAGAGGAATGCTTCCGATACTTAACACTTTGGTTACTATGATCAGAGAGAAAAATAGCTGGATAAGGATGTTGTCTTGCTAGAATATGAGCTCTGCCAAGACAGGGATCATTATTTTGTTCAGTGATTAACTCAGGTTCCTTGAACAGTACCTGGCACAAAGTAGATGCTTATTGAATAAATGAATCTTCACATGGAATTTACTTCAAGACATTTATAACAAAGTGAGAGCACTTTTCTCAGAGATACAATTTTAATGTGTGATTTCTGTTGTAGAGTTGAAGATAATATATTGAAAACAAAAAAACTGCTTTTAGAATGAAGATACAGTGTTAGAGCTTCCTAAGAATGGTGGTGTTCTGTGGAGGCAGGAAAGAAAGTTGTTTATGACAGATTTGTTTCACCAGATGGTATAGAGCAAGGAGAGTTCCTCGTCTTTTGTTTAATATAGTGTTCATACTGAAATTTTACCATCCTTTTGGAGCAGGTAAAATATTCTTGTTTAAAGCTTTTTTTTTTTTTCTTTTTTACAGTGGAAAGTAATATTTGGTTGAGAAATCTGTAAGTTTACTATATGTATTGATTAATTTGATGTCAGTCTAGCTCGGCTATTTAATGAAATACTTATCTAGGTGTTGCTGTGATAGTATTTTGAAGATGTAGGTAACTGTTGAATTTAAGGTGATTGCCCTCAATCTTGTTAAATCTATCAAGATATAGTTATTGATACTTAATTTTTGCATCTACATCTGTATGTTTTTCTTTTTATTTATATTTCTGGAAAAGCCTGATTCTAGTTGATACTGAGAGGTGCTAGAAAATCTTGAGGATGTTTCTGAACTTGTTCTGTGGTTTCTGAAATTGATTCTCTACTGTCATTATATTCCAAGAATCTAGTGAATATTTCCAATGGTCAGGAGGACACAATATTGTGTGACATTTTATGGCTAAAGAAATATGCAGAATCTCCACTGGTACTCTTATTCGAATAGATTATGGAAGGCAAGAGTCTAATTGATCATATATTTGATATCTTAGGATGTTTTTATCAAATTAATGAGTATAATAAGATTAGCTGGTTGTTCCTAACTGTACTGGATAAAGTAGGGGAAGAAAAGGACAAGCTCAGGATTTTATTTTCCTAGCTCATATAAATGACCTGAACATGCCTGCCCTAAAGAAACCGCTCTCTCCAGTAGCTATAGAGCTGAGACTGCTAAAATCCAAACCCAAAGTGGCTGAATAGAATGCAAATTGAATTTTCAACTTCATGGGTTGTATGCTGTTAAAATGGCATTGATTGGAAAGGAGTGGGGTCCCCACAATTTGAATGGGACATAAGAGAAAATCCTGATGAAACTAGGATATTAAGACCCTAAATTCTGCTCAGTCTTTTTCTCAGTCCTTCCACCTCTACTTAACAAGGTAATCCTGTTTGACCTGAAGAACCGGTGATGACCTCCCTTGGGGTAGTTGCTTTGCTAAGACACTGCTTGTTCTCCTCAGTGCCTACCCCTACCACCCCTTTGCTTCTAGAACTATAATTAGAATTAAGTCCAGCAGGTCCTGAAGAATGAGCTGAAGAGTGCGATTCATGAGATGTGCTATTTTCCTAAAATGTGCATGGGAATATGTTCGGAAATAGATGTCAAGGGCATGGGATAATGATGGAAGGAGCATAATTTGGATCAGGCTACCTTTCCCCAAAGGATTGCAGAGACTAGCATACTTGAAGGCAGCAGATGTCATTTCTGCCATATTCTGATTCAGTTCACCTATTTGGTCTACACAAAAAACAGATTGAACTTGGAAAATAGCAATGAATTACATAAGTTTAATGGGTGGTGACCAATTACAACTGCTGTTCCAGATGTCATTTCATTGCTTGACCAAATTAACTTACGTCCTAGTAACTGGCATGCAGGTATTGATCTGCCAAATGCTCTTAGTATCTGTTATTAAAGACCACCAAAGGCAGTTTGTTTTTATCTAGTAAAGCCAGAAATTCACTTTCGCTGCCCTACCTCAGGGCATATCAACTTTCCAGCTCTGTTGTAATTTAGACCACAAGGACCTTGTTACTGGTTGAATTGTGTCCCTTAAAGATTCATATATTGAAGTCTGAGCCCTCAGTGTTTCAGAATGTGACTTTATTTGGGAATAGCATTGTTACAGATGTAATTAGTTAAAATGAGGTCATCATACTGGAGTAGTGTGGGCCTTAATCCAGTGCAACTGGTGTATTTATAAAAGGGAAATTTGGGCACAAACAAGTACACAGGGGAATTGCCTTGTAAAAAATGAAGACAGAAATTGGAGTGATATTTCTGCCAGCCAAGGAATGCCAAAGATTGCCAGCAAATAATCAGAAGCAAGGGGAGAGAGCGCAAAACAGATTCTTCCTTACAGCCCCTAGAGGGAACCAACCCTGAGGACTCCTTGACCTTGGACTTCTGACCTTCAGAACTGGAGATAATAAATTCCAGTTGTTACAACATAAGTTTAAGCCACTTAGCTTATGACCTCTGTTATGGCATCTCCAGCAAACTAATGCAGACCCTGGCCAGCTTTCCCTTCCACAAGGCATCACACTGGCACATTATATGCCATGAGACTGATTGGACCTGGTGAGCAAGAAGTAACAAATATACCAGACAAAAAAATCCCCACTCTGCATACACAGAACTTGCTGGTAAAACACGTACATGTCAAATGGCAGGAAATAAACCCTTAAATTCAGGAGCTTCCACCTCAGTGAAATTTCTAGTGGTCCATTGATATAGAGCATGTCCCTATCTACAGAAGAAAAACAGCAGTAAGATCTACAGGGCCTCTTTGGATTTTAGAAGTGATAACTTACTCATTTGGTTGTGTTTCTCCAGCCCATTTATAGAGTGACCCAAGAAGCTGCTAGTTTTGAGTGGGCTCAAAACAAAAGAGTGTTCTGCAATAGGTTCAGGCTGCTTTGCAGGCTGCTCTGCCACACTGGGACCTTGTGGTCCCACAGATGCCACTGTGCTGGAAGCATTGGTGGCAGGTTGAAATGCTGGTTTGAGCCTTTGGCAGGTTACTATAGGTGAACCAGTACATAGATCCTTAAAATTTTGTAACAAAACTTTGCCATCCTCTATAAAAGTTGAGAAACAGCTTTTGGCTTGCTACTGACTGGGCTTAATAGAAACTGGACGCTTAACCATGGGCCACCAACTTATCATGCACCCTAACTAGAAAAATGAATAGTGCCTTTCGGGGGTCAAGAGCACAGGCGGGTAGCATGTTTTCAGCTCCTGATTCAACTTGGTAGGCATGGGGTCCTGGACTAAGTAGTCACATCTCTTAATTTCCTCATGGA